GCGTGGTGCTGCTTGCGGTCGTCGGCGGCAGGGCGCCGTCGTGCAAGGGAGAGGAGGCGGCGGCGCAAGGGCTGGAGGCGGATAGGGTTAGGGTCCGGCTCCTCTGGGAGGGCTCTTTTCACTATTTTGACCCTTTTAGAAAACTTTCGCACAAAATGAACTCCACACAAAACTATTTCACGATCTGACCCTTTTGGCAACGCCACAAGCCGTGGCGTTTCTTCTCTATCTGAAAACGCCGAGCTAGCCAGCGTTGCTGGCCTGGTCGGGAAGCTACGTGGCAGGGCAGAAACGCCAAAGTATCTCGCGTTGCTGGAAACGCCAAGCATGGCTGGCGTTGGTGCCCATGCATGAAACGCCATGGGTGTTGGCGTTGCAAGTAGCTTGCTCATATTTTCATTTACTTATGAAATGGAGCAACGCTAGCTAGTTCGGCGTTTTTAAATAGAGAAGAAACGCCACGGTTTGTGGCGTTACCAAAAGGGTCAGATCATAAAATAGTTTTGTGTGGAGTTCATTTTGTGCGAAAGTTTTCTAAAAGGGTCAAAGTAGTGAAAAAGGCCCTCTGGGAGCCGGGCAATAGATTTATTCTTATTGCTTGATTGTCATAGAGTCTTACAACTAGTATATATAACCACGATGGAAAATAAAATAGATAACTTGCGGGCTAAGCCCCTAACTAAACCTGCCCAGTGGGCCTCCTACGGGGATAAGTCTGCCCGGTCATAACAGGTCAAGTACCAAACACCACATATGTGGTATTAATCTTTTTTGGCCAATGACAAAACATGAAATTCCAGGGACAGTGTTGAACCCAGGCATCCACGAAATGAGCTATGGCCTCCTTATTTCTGGAAGCCGCATATTACTAATTATGGAGTTCCCATTATGAAGAGGGGAGAAGTTTCCACCCCTGGAGTCGATCGCATATATTCTACATACAATGCAGGGACTAGGCGCATATGTGGTATTAACATTATTGGGCCACTGACAAAACATGAAATTCCATGCAGAGTATTGAACCAAGTTATCCACTAAATAAGCTATGGCTTGCTTATTTTTAGAAGACGCAAACCACTAATTATGGAGTTGTCATTAAGAAGAGGGGAGATATTTCCACCCCTGGACTTGATCGTATATCCTAAAAATGCATGGACTAGGTATATATGTGGTATTAACATTAGTTTGCCAGTAACAAACACGAATGAGCTATGGCTTGCTTATCAAGAAGGGTGATATTTCCACCCCTGCATTTGATCATCTATCGAATACTCCCTCCGTTCCGAATTACTTGTCTTGGATTTGTCTAGATACGGATGTATCTAGACTCATTTTAGTGCTAGATACCTCCGTATCTAGACAAATCCAAGACAAGTAATTCGGAACGGAGGGAGTACATGATATACAGACTAGTGTCGAAGCAACATATGCTATGTAGGAGACAGGAGGTAAATAAGTAGAGAGGGCAACATGAGTTACTAGGCCCATAAAAGTTGGCTAAGCTATACAACTGGGAATAGGACAAGTGGACATAAGATGTCTTCAAGGTGCTCTCCCCTGTTGCTGAAAGAAAGCAGAGATCTTGACATGTGCTCCTCTAAAGTGCTGGCCCAGGAATTGGGTGAACTTAAGTGGTTTTGATACTGTTTGTCTTTCTCAAACACACACAGCACAAGGAATAACATGTGTAGCAGTTACAATTGTTTCGGTAACAATTGAGGCTGCGAGGGTCTGTTGAGCGGCTCTGGGACACAGTAGGTAGGAGTTATATGACCATTGTGGTCAGCGTGCAAGGCTGACACACTAGGACTAGGGCGGCATATGCCAGAAACAGATCTACTAGTTCGTGTCACATTATTTAGTTTAGATTTATTTCCAGCACAAATCGTGACGAGACATGATTTATGGTGCAAATATAAGTTTACTTGCATAAGAAGCTCTGCGCATGAGAAGCTCAATAAGATTATTAGGTACTACACACACTATAGTTTTCTATTTCATGCTTCGCTGAGTTTGCACAAATCGCTCTCTTTCATTTTGTTCCTCCTCACATGACCCCTAGGATCCACCATCAACGAATGATATCTGCATAACTCATATGCAAATAGACGAAAGTAAAGTTGAGATGGTGCCAAGAGAATAAATGGGAACCAGAAGATTCCATATTATTCTAATTAAAAACATTCCCAAAGAAAAGTGAGGTCATGAAAAGTAAAGATTATCATGCATCTAAACTCCACTGCAAGGGAGTTCCAACCAAATCAGCTCAAGTATCTTATGTGGCCTTTGGGGGACTCTTCGGTCCTGAGAATTATCGTTGATCCAGTCAAAGTTAGGAATGGACTGCTTTAGTGTTGCAAGCATCGTATCTTTGTTGATCACATTTGCTGGCTTACATTTTATTTCATTTCTCCGCAAAATAAGCTGCATTATATCACTAGAAGTTTTGCCCTTTAGTTGCAAACAAGGAAATCATGACCTATATATACGCATGTATTACCATATTACCAGATATCATATACCAGCATCGTAAGGGTATATTTGGTTGATAGCGATCCTTATTCTTAGAATAATTTGTATGCACTTTTGAAGCATCTCGTGGGATGTTTAAGCATGAACTATTCGTTGGTTTTATCCTTTTACTTTTTTTTCATTTACTTTTACTATAGTCTATTCTTATATTATTTTTCTCTCCCACCATGGATTCTTTGGTCGAGAACTGTCTTTGATTTTATTTTTTTACTTTATTGAATTTAAGTGGGTGCAATGAAAAAACAAATTTAACTAGACTACTTACTATTAATATTGTTTCCTTGTGTGAGTAGGAGGTTTTTGTACACGTGTCTTTAGTTTCCCTTTTATCATCTCGTCCAAGAGAGGAAGTTCTTCTAATTCTACGAAGCTTTCTAGAATCCTTTTCTCTAGAATATCAGTTAAGAGAATTTCGGATTGCCTGGTACTCCACCAATTATTAATCCAAAGTTCTAACTCTATAGGTTCGGTACACTATACATTTTGTATATTAGTGGAATTTCAGTACATCGGGTCTTTCTTAGGTCTAGATGGGAGTGAAGTAGTGAAATGGAACTAAACAAGGGTGCCTTATTTGCATTAATTATAGCTTCCTTATTCATAGACAAAGTGGATTCGGAATTATCTTTCCTTCCAGGGATAACTTGTATCCACAACCTAGCCAAAGTTTGGCAAAAATAGAGGTCTATGACAGGCAGGCATAGTGGTGAGAAAATGTGGTGTGACACATCTGTGCAACCATGAGCAGTATCCACATCTTTGGTAAATGTGGATACCAACCAAACATGCCCTAATTGCAAGCATTTGAATGACCACTCAACAGAACAAGTATTTGTTTGCAACATTAATCAAGTCAACCGAACAAACATAAACATATCTAAAAAAGCTGAAATACCACATCCTGTCATTGCCAGTATTTCGTCACAGAGAACAACTTGTAGTCTAACATTATATTCATATCTCAAAAGACCTGATACTACGAGGGCAGTTTTCACTTTCATCTTAACAACAGCTCCTACAACAGATCCAGTGAAGCTATCAATGGTAGCTGTCAACTCATCACTTAACTCTTTTGCACGATTCACTTGGCACTAAACTGAAATAATGCCATTTTACCAGTGTTCCTTTTGCTCCAGTTTGGAAGCGGCTACAAGTTACAAATATTACTAGGGCATCCTACTCTGCACTAATGTTTCCAGTTTGGGTTGCCACTTTGTAGGAGGTAAGTGCATGTACTACAGCCTCATCGCCTGCAAAACAGAACATGGAGGAGACCCACCTTGCCTAATGTGTGCTCTTAGAGACCATAACCTATTCATCTGGTGCCAGTCTCATCATGTCCAGCAATCATGATGCTATCATCTGCTATCAAAAGCTGAGATCTAGGCAGGTGTACAATAGCTTGTGGATGGACAACGTTTTCATCAAAGTACCCAGATAATGGATGGTGGATGTTCAGACTTGAGAGGAGAGCATATCTACACAAGCCAGCATCATTTTTGCTGCTGATGGCGACAGAACAGCTGCAAGACAGACGCACACAACAGCCCCGCATTTTAGCTCACCTAAAGCACTTGGCATGATATCGAACAGGCACATTCACCAGGATCACTGTACTGAGCGTAGGGTCTGACAGTCAACAAAGCTTGCACGATCTGGTAATCAGGATTTTACAGAATCTAATCATACTAATTTAAGTTGTTAACTATGTCATTGAACTGATAACGTTGTTAGCTCTAAGTTTCACTGCTTACATTATTATGTCCTCGTCATATGTTATAAGTTAGGAAAATGTTTTCGATACGGGTAACATAAATTAAATAAGTTTGATACTGAATTGAACTACACAAGCTTGTATGAAAAGGTTTCATCAAAATCAATTTTCGTATATCAAAAATAAATATCACAAAGTACCTAAATATATGTAGCTTCTGTATTATTGTCAGATCCTACAATCATATCCAGTCAAATGAAGAATGGTCCAATCTAGAGACTTAACCCTGGCAACTTTGAGCACAGCCTCCTCAACTACTGGAAACACAAACTGCTGAAGCAAGAGATGCAACGAATTTGTATATTTGTGTGTAACACAAGATAAAAGCCGGATCTGCCAACTTGCACACATTGTGCTGCCTGTCTTAGCATTTCATGATCATACTTGCAGCCATCTCACAATATCTGTAACTGTGCCCAGATCCTCCAACGCAACTGACACAAACTTCATGAATTCAGAACCCCACCCTCCCACCCTCAACGGCTGAACACACACATGACCTCTCCTTTAGTAGAGGAGATTCAGGCCATAGTTTTGCTCAGCCGTTATGAACCCAATTCACAACCATTATTTGTTCACACTAACTCACTGTGTTTCTAACCATGGCTCTGGTTCTACAGTCTACACTTTCCACATTGGAACCAATAAAGCGAGAGATAAATGATGTGCACGTCTATACCTTTTTTTTATCTATTTACCGGCCAATGCAGCTGAAACCCCTGCACACGGCGAGCCAGGCCGCGAAGAGTACACCGAGGAGCACGAGATCCACGAGGACGATCAGCCAGAGCTGGCGCCTCCACGCCCGCCCGGCGCCACCGCGAGCTCCATGCTCCCGCTTGGGCGTCCCCCGCGCGAGCTCAGCCTCCCTCCGCGTCGCCTCCTCCGCCTCGGCCTCAGCGGCAGCGACGTCAGCAGCCTCGCGCGCGAGCGCCTCCTCGTTGGGGAACGGCAGGCGGAGCGCCAGACGCGCCATCTCTTCGCGCATCCTGAACTCGGGGAGGCATCGCAGGCGGCGGAGGAAGAGCAGGAGGTGGGACGCCGGGAGCTGCGGCGCGAGCGAGACCGCGGCGAGCGCGAGCGGCGGGGCGAGGAGAAGCGCGTGCGCCCGCCCCGCCGTGGAGTGGGTGACGTAGCGGTGGTGCGGAGGCGCCGAAGCAGCGAGCGCGGCGGCGAGCGCCGGCAGGTCGCCGGTGCCGGCGCCCCCGGCGTCCGGGTCGTGGGCGAGCTCGGCGACGAGGGCGCTGTCGCGGAAGGCGCACGCGTAGAGCAGCGGGTGCGAGGCCGGGAGCATCCGAGGCAGCTAGGCGGCGCGAGAGATTTCTCAGGGATTTGGATTCGCCGGGAGGCTGGGCGAAGAGGGGGACTGCACAAGGACAGGAGGTGGAAGAAGCCAGACTGGAGCGTTGTTTGATTTGAGTTCTGTGGAATGGGTACTAAAATTCTTTTGAATGCTTCTTCATGGAAATCTAAAATGGTGTTTCGGAAATCCTATCTATAATATCTAAATAGTTTATTTTCATCATCTGATTTCTCTAACCTCTCGTGCTTTCACATCATTTTAAATTATTATTTTTGTCATTTGATTGACCATATGTTACTAAGATCTGCGGCAAGAGTGAACCCCGTGTCTGCTTGACGCCCCTCCTGTTCGCTCCTCCTTCCTGGACCCCGCAGAATCGGAAGCGAACTTTCTCCATCTGAAACGTTAGAGACAAAACCCTTAATCATAATCTTTGCCCGCTCCCACCCCCAACCATCTCTCTCTCTCTTCCCCAATCGACGTAAGCCCCACACAGACAACTGAGCCCAACCTCCTTTAGGGTTTGTGACCGCCAAAGAGAAGAGAACCGGCGGCTACGGGGGGTGATGGCGACTTGGCAAGGGTAGGATTGCAAGACCATTTATCTGGAGAATGTGTAGAACTTCATGCAGATGGACATCAACAAGCTCATCGACATTATCGAGGACAAGCTAGAACCGCACTTGAAATTTGAGGACTCATAATGCTCTACACGTAAGTCGCCTCCGCCTCTTTCGGGCCATGCCTAGGCTAGGTCTGATTCTATCTGATCTGGTGTTGATCTTGGCGCCTCATGTTTATCTTTTTTATTGCGCTGATTGGATATACAACATGTGCACGCAGAACCACCCTCACGACTACTCGCAGTTGCTCGGGCGACGATGAGCTGATTCGCCTGCTCCCCTAATGCGTAGATGTCGTTTTGTGTGTTCAGATTATTTATCCTATGTTTTGTATGTGTCTGTCAGTTCTCTGATGCAACGAATTTGATTGTCTGTTTGGTTTCGACGGTCCTATAGTTTAAGTTCTGCATCGGCAAGACAAGATTTTTGCGAGACAATTAATTGATGCACTTCTAGGCACAATAATTTGTAATCTCTGAATTTAAGAAGGTCGCCAACATCGTGCTCGACTTGGTAAGTCACACGTAACTTCAAACTTTTGTTTTTGAAATTAACTTCAGACATTCTGCTAAGAAAAATAAGCAGCCTTGAAATGCTTCTCTTATTTGGGAACTGTACTAGTGGTTGCTAACAAATGACAAGAACAATACTCCATATCTCTTGTGCTAGATTTACTGCAAGAGTGTATGACAAATAAATAATAGTTTGATCTTGAATCTTAATTTGGGATCTCTAGATTTTGCAGGTTGGACCGTCCAAGATATGCCATGTATCTGAACTTAGCTAGCCCACTTTGTCATGGAAAGTTGTAACCTGACTGAAACTCTTTAGATTCTTGGATGAAGGTTAAACCTAAAAAATCCTATCTGCCTCGGCTTCATCATCCAGCTAACCTAGATACATTTTAACTTCATGGTCATGTTCACATAAATACCTACAAATTAGTAATTCAAGAATAGTAATACAATTGTAGTTTAGCTTAAAACAATCATTACAAACTCATTAATTAACGGGCATATGAGGAGACACATGATGGACTTCAGAATACCATTCTTGATATGAATCTTGCCATCAAATCCTTATGCAGCACCTCCATGTATTCTCCTATGCAGGTGGACTTTCTTATGCCACTTCTCCCTTATCTACCTTGATGGTCGATCCAGTCATCGGTGTCTCCCGTTCCCCCGTGTGGCATGGTAATTGAGATGTGCAATGTTGAGCCAAGAACCATGGATGTAGTCTCATATGTGGATGGTTTCTTTTACTTTTCTCTAGTATGTATGATGCTGACTTACCATCCTATTTTCCAGGTTGAAGGTATTCGTAATGGCATATTCAAAGTTACATTAGACAGATATCGAGTTGCTGATGGAATAATTTTTTCTTTTGTACGACTTTTCACTTGTGCTATGTTGTTAACCATTAGTTTGCATCTCAATAATGGCATTTCATTTGTTTTAAGACTTGCAAGTAAGTGATTAGTGGTTTTGCTATATTGGTACATTTTAAGTTCAGTTAAACAAGGTGACCTTTCTCTACAAGTTTTCGTGTATGTGGCAACAATATTTTTTGTCTACTCTAGTTATTTTTGTTCTAAAAGATAGTCAATGCTTTACTTGCACATTTTTTTTCTTTTGAGAATCACTTGCACTTTGATGATATTCCATAAATAAGTATAGTTGTTCAGTGCAGGTAACAAGATAATCACATATACATGGATCCAAGATCTAAATTTATTCCTTTTTCATTCATCTATATCTATGTTGATTCTGATGTAATATTTTCATGTATATAAAAGGCAAGTGTTATCATTGAAAGACTTCTTCATTCAAATGTTTTTTATTAACACTATTGTTACTACTAGATCCAGGCAATGCTTTTGTATGCACAACATTTGAAAGATATGTTTCCCCGCAATAGGGAGATATTTTGATGCACATGCAAGTCACTATTTTTCTTTACACGCTTTATTTCTCCACATTATAAATTTTAGCCAAAAATATCCCGCAGCAACGCGCAAGGAATTATCTAGTTTGACCTACGTAGTAGCCTTGTTTCACTTCTTTCCTCCTTTTTTTCCTATTAAGAGCTTTCTCGGAATCTCTCCTTGGTCTCAAACTTCTCGACTCCTCAGCCAGCAACCAACTTCTACGATAAGTTCGTTGAGCGTTTAGGGGCATAACTTGTTTCTTCAAACGATTTTCAACTAGCTCTAGCACATAGCGGGTCAAGCTCACCTTGAGGAAGGGAAGGATGACCCATTAGGATAGCTTGGGGAGGGTGTGGTGATGGGGTCGACGGGCTGTGGTCGGCACATGACGAGGTCCGAGTGCATGTGGCGACAAGGAAGGGGGGAGAGGGTCGGCTAGGCGGCAGTGTCCTTGAGGTAGTGTAGGGGCGGTCGAGAGTGTCACTGTCGTGTGGGTAGGGTTTGTGCAGTGAACCGGGAAAAAGGCCAGGGAGAGAGAATATCAGGAGAGATGGAAGAGATAGTGAACTGATATGCATCACTTGGTGGTAACATGCTTCATGTAATTTTCTCAAACTCCTCAAACGATATATTCATAGGTCTGTCTTGGGTAGCCTTCGCTACTACTATTGTATTAATTATAACCCATGGTAGCTTTTTGGAGTTAGCTTCACAAAGTTACGATGTTCGGTCTGGCTCCACCCGCAGAGCCGACGAAGCGTGGCGTCGGAGCATTGTTGAACCTTTCCTAAAGACATAGGGAATTGTTGATCTTCTCCATTTCTTGCTCCACCCCCTGTCCTTGGTGCACTTTGAATGGCTCCTTCATTGCTTGCCCTCTTCATCCATTGCTTATTATCACTTATAATACCTCGGTACACGACACACAACCTCTTTCAACATGATGTTTCACCGCCTATCATGTTCGTTGATCATAGATGCTAAACAGTTGCATAACCAATGATTCCCTATGTCTTTAGGAAAGGTTCGTTGATCATAGGATTTAGGCATTGGGGGGGGGCAGACGACGATGAAGCCAGAAAATTTTTTGTGCCTCACATACTACCCAATGATTCTATATTCAAGTATCATTCAAATTTAACTTTGCCTACACACACAAATTTTGTTTGCAGCTGAAGGGTGTCTAGCGATAGCTAATTGGTCAATAGCTTCAGATACGTGTCAAGAAGACGAAGTTGATAATCAAACTATTCTAAAATATGACATGAAGTGTCGTGCCATAAACCATTTTCATATTAAAATGTAAGATATACAAACAAGAATAATCATGTATTACCATATGGTTGGCTTTTAGTTTCCATTTATATAGGTTTGAATGTCAAATCATCGGTGGTTGTATTAGGAAAATTGATTGTTTAATTTGCAAAAAATGATCAATGTTGCCATATAGCTAGAGAATCAACTCCAACCCCTCCTTATTGACGGGTCCGAGATTTCGAACGATTGCAAGTGCCTATACCTTACCGCAGCGACCCATCACAAATCATCACAACCAATATAAGTAAATTCCGATGTAGAAGTTCAACATGATACAAGATGAGAATAGAGAGAGATTAATAGACAATGTGATCTGTTATCCTTGGCTAGTTTTTTTACTGCAGCCTCAAGAATTGGTGAGTGAAGCAGCTTGTGTCGCCGTATGAATCAGATCTTTTCTTAGAGCATCTCAACAGTCGTGTTAAAAGACGCGTGCACGGTAAATTGACTTTTTAGCGCGCGCGGGACGTTTTCGCGCGCTCCAGCGATGGTGGGAAACTAGCACGCACGGGGAACGATTGCGCGCGCGGGGGAAAAGGCGGCAGCTCGCGCGCTACGTTTGGCGCGCCGCGTCCGGCGTGCCTATAAATTACAGCGCCCTCTGCCGCTCTCTCCATCTCTCCATCGCCCTCTGCCGCGCTCTGCCGCCGACACGCCACCACCGTGCCACCATGCCGCCTCGCCGCCGGGGAGGTACGGGCTACCGCGGCGTCCGCGTGCGTCCGTCCGGCACCTACTCCGCCGAGATTCGATCGGGCGGCGGCATGCGGCTCCGTCTCGAAACCTTCGACACCGCCCAGGAAGGCGCCCGCGCGTACGACGCTGCAGCGTGGCGCCTCCTGCGGTCCCGTCAGGACATGAACTTCGCCGACGTGGGGACGCGGGAGCATGCACAGGAGTTGACGCCCTTTCCGTGGCTTCTCACCGACGAGGATCGTCGCAAGCACCGGAGGCGGGAGCATCGTCTCAGGCTGGCCGAGATGTACGAGCAAGCCATGGCGCTGTGGAGCCATCGCTTCCCGGAAGACACCAACGAGGAACAGTTCTTTGCCCAGAGAAGGGCGAAGAGGAGGGATGAGCGAGCCGACTATCGTGAGGACAAGCGAACACGGAAGGAGATC